ACCACAAGCAAACAGGTTCAAAAATTAATGAATTTTGACTGGTTGTCTTTTAGGAAGCGCCCAAGGCTAACAAAGCAAGACCACTAAGAGGAACCACAGGACCTTTGCCACAGCCAGGGGCATAAGGGAACCCTTCTCCTCTGGCCCACCGAGAGCTCAACCACATCAGAAGGACTCAATACTTGGAGAAAGTCAATTTCTCTCTTCAATATTATTTAAGACTCAGTCTCCCCCAGAAGAGCAGGACATAACTGTTCCGTGGTATTTTTTTCATAGTGTGAAACTCCTCCACAAACACAAGCAAGATGGAAGTCTGGATATAAATTGACAAGTGGTAATGTTGAAAAATGGCGAATACTGCTGATAGAAGCAAGTCATTGATCAGTTTACATTCTGGCCTTTCAGAAAGTCACCCTATGATAGGCTGTTTGTGGAGGCTGGTTGATGAAACATCAAGGAGAGTAAAAATATTAAGCAAGCAATGGATTTACTTAACCAAGAAAGTTAATCGTTGCTCAGACCTAACCAATATTCATGAACTAGACTCAAGGTTCAATTGTTAGTACTTAAATGAAGACATTTTTAGCAACACCCATAAAATGACAATTTAAGCAGGAAAACATAAAATCCCATCCTTTGTTAAATAGAGCATTTATCCACACTGGGCCATATCCTGGGGATTCTAGGTGATTACTAGAAATACATCACAATTGTGTGAGCCAATGATACCAATACTTACGAGAAAATAGTCAATGTGACAATGTTTTTCCCACATCCAAAAATGCAACTCTGAGGTCCCCAAACCACAACCAGCTGAGCCATTTTATGAAACACTACTTCGTCTCTACAGACATGTTGCTACTGGAAGTTTCTGTTAATAAAAAACTGACTTAGGCCAGACTGATACTTTCCCCATGACCATCAGGTGCTATTTGGATGTAGAAGGAAAGGAAGTTTCCCCCATTCATGTTTTAAAAAATCTATTCTTTTGTTCCTTCGAGCTTTTCAGTCGCACAGAATGCGAACCTATCTTCACCTCTTAACTGGTCATTTTATATCCACTGAGTATAAAAATCAGTGTGCATTGAGAGAACATAGAAAAACCATAAAGGATAACGTAAAAACTTAAGGCTTATGATAAAATGAAGTGAAATTATAAAACGGAAAAAATGTTCAGCTAACAAATTGTTAAGGTCCTTAATAAGAACATTTTATATAAAATCAACAAACATTACAAACAAAAATGAATATTCATTTCATGAAATACAAACAGGCAAACTTAGATGTTGAAGAACATGCCAGACTTACAAATGAAGGCAAGTTACTCAGTGCAGATGGCTGGTTTGAAGGGTGGGCTTTAAAAATTGAGTAACTTGAGTGCCCAGATGTTTCCAACTCTGGTGGTACCACCTGGGCGATCTTTTAAATTTCTTAACCCCAGGGATGGTTTGAAGATTAGACTACCTCAAGTACCTGGTACACAGTAGCTAAGTAGTAGGTATTATAATAGACTAGCAACAGTTAAAAAGATTAACTTGGAGAATTAAGGGAGCATACACTGTTGCACCTTGGTGGGTACTGTGGTTATTTGACATCTATCCTAAGTGTGCATGTCTTTTACTAACCCCACCGCCCCTAAAGCAATTCTGCAATTCTGTTCTTAGAAAATAATAACCAGACAGACAAGCTCCATTGCAGCATTATGTGGAATAGCAAAAACTTGAGAACAGCTAGGCTCCCAATACTGGGAGTGGTTAAGATATTTGCATGTATGTCATGGAACTCAACACAGCAATGAAGCTGTGTCCCCTGACTCTATCTGCTTATTTCCCTGGTGTATCGGTTTAAAACACAGCCTACGAAACACTAACACACATGCCCATGATGACACACAGCCCCCCACCATTAGGAGGAGAAGGCTGAGGAATATGCAATAGTTGTGTTGTTTTTTCTGGGTGGTGGGTTATATTTTATTCAGCTTTGTAGTTTTGAAAACTTTCAATAAACATGCAACTTTTCTTTCAGGAGAAAGTAAATTTCATTTAGAAAAGAGGAAGAAGCATATATAAGGAACAGCAAAAAAGGAAAACCAGATTTTCATACAAAGCTAACTTCATTGCTGCTATCACGGTTTATACTACTCCAATCCCATTTTTAAATTAGTGACAAAATTGTTTAGAAATGACACTGTACGATGAACTTTATTTTAAAGCTCATAAAAGGCTTCACAACATCAGTTACAAACAGTGCAGTGCCAGGTAACTGGAAGGCCTTCACTAAGTACCGGCTCGCTTTCTTCTCTAAGTTCAGTCACTTTCCCTAGGGCAGTGGTTCTCCTGGGGCAGGGCTCATTTTGGGTTGTCACATCTAGTGGCATCTAATGGAAGAGACCCAGGGATGCTGTTAAATATTACACAAGGCACAGAGCAGCACCCCCTGCCCCCAAAGAACTATCCAGGCTAAATGTCAATAGCGTTGAGGTTAAGAAACCTGCTACAAAGGAATCTCCATCAGATTTGGTCAAGGTTATGTTACGCAGATTTGGATGAGGAAGTGGAGATTCAGAAAAGTTGTTGTCTTCCCAAAACCCAGTGTTCAAGTTGGTGGGTGAAGGGAGCTTAGTTTGGACCCGTGACAGGAAACCAAATCTTTCCTACTGAAAAAGGTGCCCTTTCCACTATACCATACTGCCACCATCCTTAGGTAGATTAAGAATTGTCAAGAGGCTCATGCTATATTACAATTCTGAGAAATAAAATCACTAGTGGCTGGAAAAGCCAATTATCCTAAAGCCTTCAAATGTCACACATACTTATTCACAAACCACAAGCAAACAGGTTCAAAAATTAATGAATTTTGACTGGTTGTCTTTTAGGAAGCGCCCAAGGCTAACAAAGCAAGACCACTAAGAAGAACCACAGGACCTTTGCCACAGCCAGGGGCATAAGGGAACCCTTCTCCTCTGGCCCACCGAGAGCTCAACCACATCAAAAGGACTCAATACTTGGAGAAAGTCAATTTCTCTCTTCAATATTATTTAAGACTCAGTCTCCCCCAGAAGAGCAGGACATAACTGTTCCGTGGTATTTTTTTCATAGTGTGAAACTCCTCCACAAACACAAGCAAGATGGAAGTCTGGATATAAATTGACAAGTGGTAATGTTGAAAAATGGCGAATACTGCTGATAGAAGCAAGTCATTGATCAGTTTACATTCTGGCCTTTCAGAAAGTCACCCTATGATAGGCTGTTTGTAGAGGCTGGTTGATGAAACATCAAGGAGAGTAAAAATATTAAGCAAGCAATGGATTTACTTAACCAAGAAAGTTAATCGTTGCTCAGACCTAACCAATATTCATGAACTAGACTCAAGGTTCAATTGTTAGTACTTAAATGAAGACATTTTTAGCAACACCCATAAAATGACAATTTAAGCAGGAAAACATAAAATCCCATCCTTTGTTAAATAGAGCATTTATCCACACTGGGCCATATCCTGGGGATTCTAGGTGATTACTAGAAATACATCACAATTGTGTGAGCCAATGATACCAATACTTATGAGAAAATAGTCAATGTGACAATGTTTTTCCCACATCCAAAAATGCAACTCTGAGGTCCCCAAACCACAACCAGCTGAGCCATTTTATGAAACACTACTTCATCTCTACAGACATGTTGCTACTGGAAGTTTCTGTTAATAAAAAACTGACTTAGGCCAGACTGATACTTTCCCCATGACCATCAGGTGCTATTTGGATGTAGAAGGAAAGGAAGTTTCCCCCATTCATGTTTTAAAAAATCTATTCTTTTGTTCCTTCGAGCTTTTCAGTCGCACAGAATGCGAACCTATCTTCACCTCTTAACTGGTCATTTTATATCCACTGAGTATAAAAATCAGTGTGCATTGAGAGAACATAGAAAAACCATAAAGGATAACGTAAAAACTTAAGGCTTATGTATGATAAAATGAAGTGAAATTATAAAACGGAAAAAATGTTCAGCTAACAAATTGTTAAGGTCCTTAATAAGAACATTTTATATAAAATCAACAAACATTACAAACAAAAATGAATATTCATTTCATGAAATACAAACAGGCAAACTTAGATGTTGAAGAACATGCCAGACTTACAAATGAAGGCAAGTTACTCAGTGCAGATGGCTGGTTTGAAGGGTGGGCTTTAAAAATTGAGTAACTTGAGTGCCCAGATGTTTCCAACTCTGGTGGTACCACCTGGGCGATCTTTTAAATTTCTTAACCCCAGGGATGGTTTGAAGATTAGACTACCTCAAGTACCTGGTACACAGTAGCTAAGTAGTAGGTATTATAATAGACTAGCAACAGTTAAAAAGATTAACTTGGAGAATTAAGGGAGCATACACTGTTGCACCTTGGTGGGTACTGTGGTTATTTGACATCTATCCTAAGCGTGCATGTCTTTTACTAACCCCACCGCCCCTAAAGCAATTCTGCAATTCTGTTCTTAGAAAATAATAACCAGACAGACAAGCTCCATTGCAGCATTATGTGGAATAGCAAAAACTTGAGAACAGCTAGGCTCCCAATACTGGGAGTGGTTAAGATATTTGCATGTATGTCATGGAACTCAACACAGCAATGAAGCTGTGTCCCCTGACTCTATCTGCTTATTTCCCTGGTGTATCGGTTTAAAACACAGCCTACGAAACACTAACACACATGCCCATGATGACACACAGCCCCCCACCATTAGGAGGAGAAGGCTGAGGAATATGCAATAGTTGTGTTGTTTTTTCTGGGTGGTGGGTTATATTTTATTCAGCTTTGTAGTTTTGAAAACTTTCAATAAACATGCAACTTTTCTTTCAGGAGAAAGTAAATTTCATTTAGAAAAGAGGAAGAAGCATATATAAGGAACAGCAAAAAAGGAAAACCAGATTTTCATACAAAGCTAACTTCATTGCTGCTATCACAGTTTATACTACTCCAATCCCATTTTTAAATTAGTGACAAAATTGTTTAGAAATGACACTGTACGATGAACTTTATTTTAAAGCTCATAAAAGGCTTCACAACATCAGTTACAAACAGAATCAACATTTTTCCATTTTACACCTTCACATGACAATGTACGAGAGATTTAAAGTTTTTGTTTTGCATGCTGCTAACACATTTCACTAGTTTTTACTTTACTTGTTGGATTTTTAATAATACCAAAGCAAGAAATCATATTCTATTGGACAGAATTCATCTTAAAAAGCCCTTGTGAAACCAAACTTAGTCTTGTTGATCAACATCCACACCCATACACATGCTGAAAGAGAGAGCAAAATGCAAGAAAACTACCTTGGCAGGAACAAATGCTTAAAGATTTTAATCACAGCCCTCTTGAACAAGCAGTACAGTTTATTTTCTCGAAAAGACAAAAGTCAATTTCATCCTCAGTGATGCAAATGGTAATAACTGCACAGAAGCTTAGTATGAATTCACAATTCCACAGGAATCTGAAAGTTACCAAGGCAATTTTCCCTTTCAGGATCGTAACAACTACAGACTTAAGCTTTTTCTCTTTTTCCATATAATACACAAAATTTCTAAACATCCTTAAAAAAGAAAATATAAATAGTCTCAGTATGTTAATGTAGAATCACATACTATGGCAAAAATATTTCATTGATTGAAGGACTAAGCCAATTTAATGTTATCTAATCTAAGTCCATATTAATGGAATTCTTCTCATTAGGGTAACATTCACCGTTCTGATGTGGTGGTTCAGTGTCAAAGTTATTTTTGCCTTCTAAATCTTCTTCCTTTTTATCAATATTTGGGCCATTTGGAGTTCTTTCCAGTTTGGGTGATTCAATTTTTGGTTTGGGTTGTGTTACGACGGGTTCACAAGTGTTATTCAACTCCTAAGAAAGGAAAACAGAACTGCTAATCAGATTTTAACTCAGACCCATCCAGTTCATTTTCAGTTACTTCCCTACATACCTGAGCCAGTGTTTTTTTCTACGAACTCCAATTATACATATCTCAAAGCATTCTATTTTCCCATTATATTTGCCCAAACTATTGCTTGAAGCCTGATCAAAAGAGATTATTCTCCTCCAATGCATCAGGGACTTGGTAAATTCTCACATATTAACTTCATTTAATCCTCACATTATTAAAACAGGAACTATAATCCCCACCAATGGAAGAAAATGGCCAAGCAGTTAAATAACTTTACCTCAAGATCAGAAAAACTAGAGAGCAGAGCTGAAATTCAAGCTCACAGCTCAGGACTTCAAAGGCTCGCACTTCTTTAACCTTCGTTGTGTTTGAATGTTCTTCCAGTTCCTTAGTTTTCTTCCCAAATTCCCTCAAGCCTCACACACTCGGAAGGCCTTCCCGGATAGAACACCAACGTGCGTCCTCACCGCTGCCCAGCATTTCCTGACCCCTCTGACTCTACTTTCACCCCAGCGCTCATCACCATGTGACACGCCTCTGTGCTTGTCCCCGGTCACCCTGCTCACCCAGCAGCTGGCTCCACGGGGGCAGGGCCTTTTTTGCACACTCCGAGTTGCACCCCTAGAACAATGGCTGGTGCATGGGAGGCGCTCAACAAATGTATTTGTTGAACTTTATGAATAAATGAAAAACTGGAAGTTTAACAGATTATAAAGTCTTCTATATTTTGCGCTAACAATAATGACCTAAGAAATCCGGTCTCAGTCAGAATGAGGTAAAAGTTTATAGGAAAAATGGCTTCCTGTAAGGTTCAAATGATTCCAACTTGAGTCTCCAAGAAAACACAGCAGTGAACGTTAGACAACACTCACCTTTATTTTCGCTTTAATGTCCTGAGCCCGAACAGCCGGGTCCTGATCGAGACTCTTTTTAGCCTGAGCATTCATGACATTATTCATCCACTCCATCACTTCATTAACAGACTTCTCAACCTTCTTCATTTCAGACTCATCAATATGGTTATATTGCTCATCCTGAATGGAAAAAGCATGGTCGTTCTGTAGAATTAAGTATTTAAACAGTAACGTCTAATTTGACCCAATGCCGCAGGAAGTTTAAATCTATCTCTGATCTCAAATACCAAAAATAAGCTTCTTATATAAGAACATTTGGCTCGCAGGGAAGGTTCTTCAACCTAAAGATCAGCTGATTGAGACCTAGGCTGACTTCCTCACTAGGTGCAGGGAGACTCACGTCACTCCTGAAGTCGGCTGCTGTCTTGGCGTAGTGCTGCAGTCTCTGTCCCAGTTCTTCAAACATTTTTGGCCGATCCTCAGCTTCCTGGAACCGAACTTTAACGGGAGTGCCAATTTTCTAAAACCAAATGTTTTAAGTTAATGTTTGTCTAATGATATTTTAGAAGTCTACAGTCTAAAACACAGGTACTACTTTCTAAGGGTGAAAAGGGCCTACCTACCATCAATTCTTCCAGCTTGTCAACATATGCTTGCTTGGCTTGGTCTTCTCCTTCTTCATAGAGCCAGTTTTCAGTCTCTGTGAGCAGCTTCAAAAAATGTTGATGATCCTATATATGAAACAGGAAAATCATTATTAGTGGCCATCTTACTTTAAAAGAGTTCACAGTAAAATAGTCATCCTCAGAAATGTAAATCCAAGTAGCAAATCTTATTTCTAGGAAGGCACTCTGATTAGCTGGAATCTCTTCACTGAACAGTATCAAGGAATAATAAACACTCTCCCATTAGCCCCATACAGTATTTTACACAAGGCATCAAAGGTTCTTCTTTGGCTCCTTTTACACAGAGACATCTGAAAATTTTTGGTAAGCCGCTTTGATTGACTTACAGTATTAATGTCAGAAGTTCATTTCGGGACGTGTACACACTGAAATGGGGTCATGGAAGAGCAGTTAGGTTCCTTTCCTACTTTCCCAAACAATTAGGACTTGATCAGTAACTTTCTATTCACTTCCACAAATTATCAAATACTGGGAGGGAAGCTAGGTGAGTTGACAACTCAATCACTGAACACATGAAATTAATCATTGCTAATGAATTCTTATAAAGTATGTGTTTCGACTAGCCTGGCTTGGATCATCTCTACTTCAGAATTCCAGTCATAATCCAGGAAATGTTAGGGCAGAGTTGAGAACTGAAATATATAGTAGCCTGAGGATCTTAGGACTGAAATAGACTCCTAAAAGTAAACTAAAAACTTCAGAATTAGAAGTTAAAAAAACCATCCTGGATTTCCATGTAGATGATTGTTTTCCAAGTCCCACCTTTCATAGCTGTGCTTCTGAGATTTATTCAGAGCCATGCTGACTCTGAAGGAGCTTAGAGAGCGGCTAGAGGGAATAATGGTGCCCGATAAATCCTGCAATGACTAGAGCAACAAGTCTCATGGGACAGAACAGTGACACAGAGCTTCCAAGGGACCAGTCATAAAAGCCTCAGGGCTTTGAAAGCAATGGTTTTTCTCTTATTGATCCTTCATAGACCCCACGACTATGACGTCATAGGCCCTGAATAAATGGTTGACACCAAAAGCGCATTGGGATAAGCGGATAGAAAAGAACCACACATGACTAGTGAGCTTCTCTAGGACTTTGTTTATACAATTTCTATTTCAAGTTGTTTTCTCTTCTCCAAAAGCTTATTACATATTCTAGAAATTTAAATGTCAAATTTGATACTGAACATTTCATATCAGATAAACTAAGAACAGAACTCTAAACATACCTGATCACATATAAATTTTTCATATGGGCCACACAGCTTATCCCTGAACTCATAGACATATTCCTCCACTGCATTTTTAGCATCGTTTCTTTCTTTTTCCAGTTTATCCTGCATTATCATCTTACCCTGTCAGGAAACAGAAAAGGTTAATTCTAGCCTTCTGTTATCTCTAAAATTTTAACTAGACTCTGGTGTTCACAAAAGCAACAATACCAAAAAACAAAAAACAAAACAGTTCTAATTTATACCTCATAAATTCTTCCAAAGAATCCTGCAAAGGTCCCCATTTTCTAAATTCACATAATGTGTCATGGGGTTTTTAACATTTACGTATTACATAGTATTATATCTGAAATGTGAAAACTAAGAAGAAAACAAAATCACTTTTATATATTTATTTTCTTTTCTGTAGTCATAATATGGTTATCTCATATTGGGATTAATATTAGCTAACATAACATATAACATTAATCCTAACACTTGGCCATCACACTTTAAAATCAAGGTAAGACAAATTTACTTATATGCATTTATCTGTATCTGACATGATCACATCAAATATAAATATAAATATATACAACTTATTTGCATCAATTCAATAAATGGAATATAATTCATTGTTAAATACATGTCTAAACACAATGTTCCCATCCCAGTAAAGGAAAAGTGAATCCCAATCATCTGACACGTCCTAGACCAGAAAGAAGCACGACCTATCTTAATAGAAATACTTATGTGGCCTGAGATACCACCTGTATTGTGCTGTGAAGGGCACACTGGCATCCAATTTCTTCCCAAGAACTTGGCAATCAGTTTTATGCCAAGCAGAATGTTCTACGGTAGAATATATATCTTTTTAAAAAGGATGCAAAAATAGAAACAAACTTGTTCAACAAACTAAACAAAATTTAGTTTTGGCTTTATCTCATCCCTAAAAATACTTAAAACTTAGGATATGGGAAGGTATTATAGGCATTTACTTATCAGAAATATGAGTAACGGGGCCAAATAACTGAACATATTCCGAAATGACAGGTCTTACCTCCGTCTCAATGTACATGTTGAGAAGGTCTTTCCCCAGCTGCCAGACCAAGTTGGCTTCAATCGGCAGCTCGACATTCACAACCTTTATTTTGGGTTTTTTAGCTTCTGGAGGCTGATCAACTTTCTTTTCATTTGCCTTAGGAAAAGGGGTAGTAAAAAGTGGAAAATTCTTAAATGATCCTTGGGGGAAAAAAATCTCCCTATTATACTTACTGATAACAGGCAATATGATTCTAAAATAAAATCTCTAAAATCATAAAGACGGGGAATGAGTAAGAACATCTAATTCCCAACCACCATGTTAAATCACGGCTGCAATTAGAACATGCTATACTAAGAATTCACCAGGATATTTTTCTCTTTTGTTATTAATCTCAATCGCTCCAGCTAAAGCTTTTCTTCATTGGTCTTTACTTTCTATAAAGCCTTTAAGCATTATCTGTGACTTCAAAATATCAAAAACATTATTAAATTATCACATCTTTAAGTTATAGTCCAGAATCTAATAGTAACCTAAACAGACTTTCACCTAAGCTAAACATTTTAGGATCGGTTCTAGTCCTGTATCGATCCCTATATCCCCATATTATACCTGTTTAATTGCAATTAGCACTATATAGATGAATACCTTTTAAAATTTCCTACTGAATTGGAGAATACATATACACAAATACACACACACACACACTGTATGCACATATCCTTATTCCAACTATCTGCCTTTGAGTCATATCGCTTCTTACAAGCAACTCCACAAAGTAAAAAGAGATAAAAGACTCTTAAAACAGCAAGTGGAATGATGTAGCAAATATTAACAGTTTACCGTAGTGTTTCAAATATGTAAATACTGGGCTAAAGAAGTAAGTATCTCCCATGGCCTTTATATCTTTTTAAACCTTTTCTATGTATTTCATTTTTGCGGTTTCCTATGATGACAAATGACGAAGAACGTAATTCAGGAAACTCAGCTGTAGAACAGACTCGAAGATAACGGGGTATAACACGCCCACGCCGGCTGGGATGGAGGTCAGGGAGGGGACATGTCAGAAGACACAAACACTGCCACACTGGGTAGTGGGGGGGCTACAATGGCACTAACATTCTAGGCACTTACAGGAGAGATGGCCACTTGAAAGAGGTTTGAGGACGTGCCTAAAATAACAAAGACTGAGGTGGTACTGGGACCTGTGTCCTAGACTGGCAATGAAGATCCAGTCAGTCGGCCTATAGTCCCCTATGCCGCCTGCCGTTTGGTGCCCGTGAGAACCTCCAATATATGCGCGTGCTTTAGGGGTCAAGAGCCACAAGAAAAAAAAAGATGACACCTACACACAGCCAAACACAGGAGTGCAACAAATACTCGGGAACCAGTGGATCACAGTGCATGGGGGTCATTTAAGTCAGGGTAAGACTATCCGGCAGCACAACATTAAACCAGCCACGAACAGAACCAAACCCATCACAGAACGGCACTGAGGGTGTTGTGCAGCCCTCCGAGGGGGTGCATGGTAACGTTCCAAGGGCTTGACACAAGCGGCCCCACGTACAACTAAGAACATGAGATGCTACCGAACGTCATGTTCTAGATGGGGACGGAGCCTATCAGCACGAATCAGTGGAGGCCTAACCCTAAGTGAAGGGAAGTGGGCTGAAGTTAAGGAGTGACTGTTGCGAAGAAAGCAATGCTAGTCCACCACCGTCACGTAACGCCTTAAGGGGAACAAAGAAGGCTCAGATTAGGACCTATAGCTCCTATCAGGACCCCATAGATCAGCAAGGCCAGGGGAGACTGAACACTGGAAATTTGTGCCGAGTCTAAAACGTATGTTAACCCCAATGAACACCTCCTGTAATGTCTGAGAGCAAAGAATTCTATCCTCTGAATGTGAGAGAAAACCACATCACTAATGAAAGGTTAATACTTTACATGCAACTTGCACAAAGAATGAGGTTCTACAAAACAGTGATCCCGCAGTGACACGGACACCTCCCCCAAACCCATCTGACCATGATCTTCAAAGGTTTGATTAGCAGCTGTTATTTTTCAAGGGAAACACACAACTACTTAATTTAGCTTCCAGTACATACTGTGGAAGTACAGCAAAAGAATGATTACTTTGAAATGCAATCTGGTTATTATCAGATCACAATTAATTGATTTAAATTCAACAGGTGATTTGAGACAAAGTTTAACTAGACTCCTATAGCCCATGTATTTAGCATCAGTCTAATTCAAGTATTAACTGATCACACAGCACTGCATGTGTCTATTTCTGCTTTCACATTAGCAGACACCCTGGGCACTAGAGAAAACAAAGGCTATGCACTGGTCTCTTGTTGCTTGGAATGGCAGTTAATCAAGAGAAGCTTTCAGGTGAAAAGCAGGATATTCAATTCCCTCAGTTGAGCTTGAGAACCTCGAACTGGTTTTAGATGAAAATCACATAGAAAATAAACAAAAAATCCTATGTAGAATAAGAGACCTCGGTGCTTGCTCTTGAAACTGCAGATTTAATGGTGTCATTAATGATCACATGCTGCAAACATTGTCTAACGGAATGAACTAGAAGAGTCACTCACTTTGTCAGCATCTGGGATTTTGTTTTCTTCTGAGGTAAGTTCAGGTGAAGGGGGAGACTGTGAGGGTTGTTGGCCATCGGTTTGTACCTGGGGCTGTGTTCCAGCTTCACTGTTGTCTTGCTGGATATTTTTCTGAAATGAAAGCCCAGGCACAAAGGATGTAGACAGCAGGTGTACTTGTATAAATTTAAAAGGTTATAGGGCACCAAGACAGTATGCTCAGTTTCTGAAATCTTAATAGATGTGGGAAAAAGATACTGATTTAAAAGCAAAATGAACACAAGACACTCGAAAACTTCTTAGAAATTTTAAACCTGCAAGAAATTCTTTGAATGACAGCAGTTAATAGAGTTAAATAACATAAGCAGTAGGCATTCTGATGGTGTGATGACAAACAAGAACTCTCCCATAAGAAGCTTTCAACTAGCCTTGTGCAGTTATGAACTCAAAATCACAGGAAACAGGTGCGTGCTCCAGGCCTCTCTCCCAGAAACAAGATGCTGACGACTTCACCAGCAGGCATCATGCATCCCAACACGTTTCAGTGAACCCAACAGTTACGTAAAATACCCAACTATCAGTTATCTGGGGGCTGGTCGTTTCAGCATACAGACAGGCAAAGCCCTTCTCTGTCCACTTTCTCTTTGTGACCCAGCTATTCACATCTCACAAGATCTCTGGACAAAGGACATATGCTACATGTTAGTAGACCTCGATTTCCAGCAAATCAGTGCCTGCCAGGATGTTTTCCGTGTCAGGGAGAAGCATGAAGCATTCACTACTTTCTGTCCACCCTGAAGTCTCTCTTACTTTTCTTTCAGAGCTTCAAGAGTCTAAGGCACTAAAATATTCAGAAGCAAGGCACTCCTGGTATAAAAACATCCAAAAGGGACTAAGAGATTGATAGAGCCGGTGTTGGAATAACGGGGCTGTAGCCAGGCAAGAAAGTACACGGCACTGGTCATGTAACTCATTACATCCAAGTCTTTCTAGACAAGAACAAAACTAAGGCTCAGATGTTAATGCTCATTAAATGTTGCAGAATGATAATAGTAATAAGAGTTCTCTGACCACAAGATACCACACTTTCTCACATCTGAGCTCTACTATACTGGCTGCTCTTCATTTAAGCTATTTCTGATTATTACCCAGAAGTAAACAACAATAGTTGATTTTAAAGTCTCTTAAAATTCTTCTGTTGACCATGTATAACAAGCACTCATGCTAATGGAAGTCTAAATTAAGAACACAAACAATAATTTTCTTTCTATATTCTACACTCTTTTCCTCCTTCCTCCCAATGTATAGCATTTCGTGTAAATAAAAGCAAGTTTTAAAAATACCAAAGCTAATTTTGCCATACAATTTTTTAAAATTAGCTTTAATATTAGGCATCCATTTCACCAAATAGTTTCGTAATAGCCTTATTTTCCTTAATTTTCAGTCAACATTTGACTTTCTGAAAACAGTCTATGTCTTCTACACTTCAAAAAACCTTTACCTACTCTAACTAAATTGTCAGATACCAGTTTAAATTAAGCTACAGAGAATTTAGTCACACTCCACCCAATTCCAGGCAATATATTACTAACACCTACCAACTGCTGCTACCATCATTACCCAAGATTCTAATAAACATTGAGAAAAACCTATTTTCATCTTTCTCTGTCCCTCCTCTATAGTCTGGAATTAAGTCTCCGATACCCGAACCCCACGCCTGGCCCCCAGCTCACATCAGCGTCCCCGCTCTCGGGCAGCCTCCGGGGCTGGCCCTCCACGTCCGCCTCCACGGACGGCCCCTCGCTCTCCTCGGCGGGGACTTTCTCCACCATGGACGCTGTGGACACGGTGAAAATGCCGTGGGTGTTGACGCGGACTTTGACTTTCACTCGAGATTTCTCTCCATCTTTCTGCGCAGAAACATTCTGAACTACAAAGCGACCTAAAACAAGAAGAAACTGACAATTTTAGAAGTGAATCTAGATTTCTATGAAGACAAAAGGCAAGAAATAAAGGTCGAAAGTACTGCTATTCCAAAATCCCCCCTTTCTTTACCAACTGACTTTAAGTCCTTTACTGTACACTATAAACATGTCCTCCTAAAAAGACTTCTAAGTGTACAGAATACTTATCCTCCTTGAGATTGGTCTTAATTTGCCCAAACTTTCAAGCGCGAGGGTGCTCTCGGGGCTGTTCTCACTCCACGCTCACCACGCAGAGCCTGGGAGGCAATGACGGGCGCTCCCCCCTCCCAGCGTGCTTCTCCAGCTGCGTGACACAAACTAGACGTGAAAGTCTGCTAGCACATGGAAGGCAGATGCTATCCAGCACACGCTGCATTTTAATTTTATGGAGTCTTTCAGAGAATACTGTTTTTCTAACTGAATAATCAAACTTTTTCCTATGTTTTAAATAGGTGAGCTAAAATCTGTATCAAAGCCTGAAATCACTAAGTATTATAATAGAGTAGTTTCAGAGCATAACGGAGTAGGAGGGGAGAATGCCGACTGACCCAGACTTTCTGGACTTGAATCCTGGCTGTGTGTAACCTGCTGCACGTTAGTGAACCTATCTACGCTTCTGTGGATTAGTGTTTACTGGGCACGTAATACTGCACCAAATGCTAAGTGTTAGTTATCAGCTTTACCAATAAGTACGATTATTCCAGAGACCACTAAACCAAAATTAAATTATTTTGAACCTTTTATGTACAAAAGACTATGAGATTTAACAGCCTTGTAGTTAAGGTGTAGTCTACACAAACACACTGAAAGTTATAGATTTAATGTCCAGGTCAGTGAAAGATGTTGGAAAAGACCTTTAATTATCAAATCATTAGTTCGGGAAATAACTGCCATAGGCCCACTAAGCATTTACTATGGGGTATCCCCAAAGAGTCCCATGAGAGTGCAGATGGGTCTTTAAGAATGTGCAAGCCTTTCAGTTCAGATGGTAACATAAAGAGTTTGATACCATGTGAAGAGCTTGGACTTTACCCTCTGCACAATAGGGAAATAATGTTGGGCCCAACCTGTCAAAATTTTGGTCTATACATAGTCAATGCTTTCCCGAATTAATTTCTTACCAATAAATTTTTAAGAACTGCTAAAAAAAGAAAAAAAAAAACGTAAACCTTCTGTCTCACAGCATTTTTAGTCTTAAGTAGTAAGAAAGGAAACACAACTGGCTGGTCAAAACTCCTTCGAACAATGTTGTTAGGTAAAGGTGTGGGGCCAGGGTCCATCCTGAAAAGATCTAGCATTACTGCTGATTTACTCAAAGCCTGACAAAGACATCTGTGCAGAAAACACCTACCGCTCTCCCAGATTCCCAGAGTTACTATGGGTCAAACTACATGGATAGTATAAGAGATGTATTTTTATTTTTTTAATTCCAATTTTATTTTTATATATTAAAACTGTCATACTTTTATTATACTATTGTATTTAAATTACCTGTGTGACAAATGAATATATGCTCATTGAAAATATTCAATTCACACATAAATTTGGGGGGTAACAAAAGAAGAGAAACATTAACATTCCTCCCTTTTCCAATATGCTCAAGACTTTGGAGTTACCCATTCGCAGTCTTTGGTGCTTATCTTTGAGGTCTTTGTACTATAATATGCTTACGTGCCAAATGTATAATTCAGAGATGTCTGCTCTGTAAATGGGAACTATTTAGTAGACAAATGACTGCATGACTTGCTTTCTCCTAACAGCACCTGCAAATCTTTCAGGGTACATCATCTATCACAGTAGTTCTCAAACTTCAGATGCATTTTTTTAAAAGATTACAATACAAAGGTACATTTGAGAAGTAGTTTCAGTGGCTTCTGAACTGGAAGTAACATTTCCCACCTAGAAGAAAGTAGAAGTAGGCGGCAATTCTTCAAGTAAAGACTGTATCAGAATAGGAAAAATATTAGTGTCCCTAAACATATATACTTGGAGGTACCGGCAACACTAGCAAGGCACTTCATCATTATAAGCCAGTTTACTTAACCATAAAATGAAGAAATGTCTCCATTACTGTTATCCTAAATTAAAAACATCTTCCCAGGGAACTATGTTCGACTCAACATTACTAAAAATAAGAAACCTTTTTAAGTTTGTACACTGACTAAGCAAGTCTTTAAACATGTAACAAATTGCTTACCGATTTTTGCTTCTGGATATGGAACTCCGTGAGGATCAGAATAGAAAGCTTCTAGCTCGAAAGGCCCCCTTCTCAAGAAGGTGAGAACTTTGGAGAAAGGAGCAGCGTGGTTCCGAGTGAACACTTCATGAACACTAGAGGGAGGAGAAGGCCTTCAGTGTTGCCAATATTTAAGCTTGCTGTGATGCACAAACAGAATAAACTAAAGTCTCTATCAATTCTCTCTTACCATGTATAATACCAAAATCAGAGAAATATTTTGAAAGGTTTGGTTGTTCAAAGACCCCAGTTAATTAGACATTCTAATGTAAAAGTCACTTGTTAATTTCCTTTTTTATACTGAAATACAGTACTCTGGAAGTTATCTCCTACCACATACCCTTCAGTATCTTCTGAATCGTGGTTCCAAACCAGAGATATTGGAAAAGGAACTGCATCTGTGATGGAAAATTCTCTAACTTTAAAGGCTGGGGAAAGGATTGCACACTTGAAGAAAAAAAAAAAAAAAGTTATCAGGAGCATGTATATTCAACCACCTATTAATAAAAAAATCAATTCAAATGGGATGCGTAGGCTTAAAATTCAAATTCAAAACTGTTTACAATGTGTCACCTTAAGCATATAAATATGACACCTATCACTAGATACAGAGACAAATTAACACAGTAAGCTTAGGACAGCAACTGTCAGTTAGGAGCAAGATTCACAGGGGCTTAGGAAGAAACCTGCTGTCTTTCCAGAATACCTGATAGCCGACTATCACTTCTGAATGTGTATATTCATCCACAGACAGCTCTGTCCACTCTGCTTTTCAAATGCTAAGAAACTGAAAAAGGGTAAAATCCACAATCTTCCTATTTTCAAGTAATTTTATGAATGAAGCAAGCAATGACAAACTCAAATTTGGGGTAGATGACACATAGCAGACACATGGATTTAGACTAGTCACATAAAAATTACTATGTAGACGACTAATCTAAAAGTTACTTAATCCCTGATTAGCATAGGATTCTTCAAAAAGAGGCCAAAGAATTTTCCTCCAAGGTTCCTGGGAATTAGATTTAGTCAAGGAGGCACACTGCATTATCATGGAAAAAGCAGAAACAAAGACCCCATGATGGATCACAAAGATACAAAGAGATTATAAGTAACAATCACTATCTACATAATCTTCCTTTTTAAGTTTTAAAGAGTAGTCTAACACCTTTGTCTACATAATCTGTTGCTTTATATTAAAAAAAATAGTGCTAACTAGATCAAAATTCAAGCATGTTAGCCTGAAACTTTAAACTACTTAGATTTGACTATAGTATCTGGACTATAAGCTATTACCCATTTTCTTTTTTAATCAATAACTTCTAGATTTGCTGTTTTTACTTTGCCCAATAAACTTCCTGCCTCTGAGCTGCCTTACTTGATAAGCAACTTAAATCAATTCAGAGGTGGGGCGGAAACAGCCGTTTTCTAAAACCAGGGTTAACTAATATTCTTAACCCTGGAAATGGCCCCAAATCAATTCCTTATTACACCAGGTTGCCATTCTCATTCCCCCACATGTGCTTTGGAAAGACTGTCACCACCACCCAGCAAGTTAGTGCATTCCAAGCTGTGCTTCCCAGGACACCCTCAGAATCATGCCTGCTCCTAATGCCCAGATTGAGACACAAGCTCCATAGTTCTTTGAATCTTAAATTCCCTGGATCTCTCACATTTGAAGATCCTTGTCTGGCCACAGCCTTAGAAAAGGATTTAAAAGTAACTCCCCTGTGATACCTAATTTGGCCCAGGGCTCTGCTTATTCTATGACCCCACCACAATGAAATAAAACCAAGCAGAAATGGTTCAAGAAATGAGCACCAAGAGGAAGAGGCTGGGAAAGCAGTACCTGGAGAGCACAGCCTCTGGCTACGGCCTCATCTGCATTGAGCGTGGTGCTGACATCTTTTCCAAAGAATTTGGCAATTTTTTCTTTCACAGCTGGAACTCGTGTTGTGCCTCCAACTATCTCAACAGCACTCACATCTTCGACTTTGAGCCTAGTTTGTTCCATCAGTGAATGAAGCGGAGCTTCGATCTTTTGCAGGAGTTCAGCACAGAGTTCTTCAAATTGTGCTCTTAGCAAATAAGAGGAACATGTTATAAATCTTTAGACCAATATTCATTCCGTCCTTAGTTTTTAAAAATAAATCCTATCAATCCAATGAATTTTGTTTGTCTTTTCTTCCCCTCAAACACCCTGGATTCCACATGGGCCAAGTTTAACTCTACTACATAATTTGGAACTTTTTTTTCCTGTAAATACACAAAGCAGTTGCAGAAGGGATGGGAGAGATAATAAGTTCTACTGGAATTACTTTAGAAGAAATCTCTTTTATATTAGAGTGCTGTTCTACTCCTAAATATTTTATGTCATTCAATTCTCACTAAATATTTATTCCCATTCACTTCAAAATACTTCTGTGAAATATTTTGCGAAACCATATTCAATTTCTCAGAAATACTAAAACACGAAAAATACCAAAAGACTCCATCATGAGAGCGCTCAGCCAAGATCTTTTTAAAAACCCTCTTTGCAGGAGTGACCCTAGTGCAAATGATCTTTCTATATGCAGCATACATACGATCTTGAAATATAAGCCAAGCCTCCAAACACTACAGATGGAACTGACACCTGGGCTGAAATTTCTGAAAGAAGTTCTATTTAATCTGGCAGGATTCAAAACCCACCTGTTCATCTTTCCTGAAACATCTTTGTCATTCATAAAGCACTCGATATTCAGTGGTAGGTCCGTGCTGTTAGAGCTCATTAGCTTTTTCAGTTTTTCACACTCCTGATACAGACGAAGGAGTGCTCGAATTTTGGATTTTGCATCCAACTTGTACTTAGTTTTAAATTCCTCACAAAAATGTTCCACTAACTTTTCATCAAAGTTTTTTCCTCCTAAGAAAGGATCAAAGGCTGTTCCAAGTACCTAATTTAGTCAAAACAACAAATATTCTGGTTATTTTTAATTATATTTTGATTGAGAATTTTACATATAGCTATTCAAACAACTGAAGACTAATAGGCACAAGACTTCTTTGTAAAGTACAACATGAAATCCAAGTCAATTAGGAGAAATGTAACTACAAAATCCAAATGAAATACTAACTTTTTTTTTTTTTACTTTCAATGATTACACAGAGGATAATCTTAAAAAGCCTTTTTTTTCTAAGCAAGAATACAAACAAGGATGCCAGGACAATTATATCATCTTTATAGAGATCAACCTTAGGACTAATTCCTTGTTCATGCCATTACCCAGAGTTCTTCATTACTAAGAAGTGCACAGTCAAGCTCAGAAGCTTACGGTAACAACCAATATAACATATTCAATGTTTCAGTCACTTGCTTCCAATTTATGTCTTTACCTTCAATTTTCCCTTGTTAAAGGCGCAGGCACACACTTGAAAGGCTGAGTGTCCCATATCAACAAAAACAACTATCCGAGGTTTCTCATCCCAACATGGTAGATCCTGCTTATAAATCCCATAATTCAAAGCAACTACAAAAAAAAGTATGTTTCAATTCTTTTGTTCACATTTCTCAGGAATTTCATCGTTACCAAAGTAATTACATGAGGAAACTTGACTATACTTCAAATAATCAAAGGTGAACATGTTTCTTTTATACCAGACTTCATACTAATTTTCTTGGCATCAATTGCTTCTTCCTTTTCTGATTTTAGAACAATACTCTCACTTTTCAATGTATGAATAGATGAGACAGAGAAACATGCATGTTGCAAATACAATGAAATGTAACCATAAACATATCAGATCCATTACATAATACTTACATTTTAACCACAACCTGCCAGGAGACTGCTTATTCAAAAAAATTAAGAATTTAATAAACAACTACAGTAACAGCAGTTCCTACCAATGTTTTTTAGATCCAGAGCAAATAAATCATGTTAGTTTTTTTCTGAACTTTGAAACCACTGTATTTCTAATCATGTACACCTAAGAACACACCTTTACCAATATGAATTAAAGAGTTTAAAAAAAAATTATTACAAATATGCGGGACGGAAGTCCTGTTTGCTTTGCTTGAATACACTGAGTTGTAACAGAGCTCATCTGCAATCAATCGGAGTAAGCGGATAAAAGCTCTAGGACTGCTCTGTCACCACGCTAACCCTGCCTCAACACAACGCCTGGCAAATCACGCAGCTTAAATCAGTATTTGGTAGAAGATGATCAATAGCTAACTACATATATTTAGAAAACATGAAAAAAAAATTAAGCTAAATCAATACTTGTAGTCAAGACAGTTGTGAAACCCAGAATCATAAGGTTTGGGGAAAACTTGTTTCTTAACTAAACACAATGTAAAGAAATAAAAAACTAAATCCAATACACCTAATCCAAAGGATTAAAATAACATAAAAGAATTTTCTAGTGAAAACAGATTCCTAAGTTTGAAAAAAAAAAAAAAGCCCATTTCTCTTTAAATACAATCATCTGAAAAGCTGCAATTTTTGCTTTCAAACCTAACACATTTTTTAAAAGGCTGTATTTCCACATCTACATGAAAAGGTATTTAATAATAGCATCTTCGTGTGTCTTAAATCTAGGTCTGATAGGCTACCCACTTCTACACAGTTTTACTCTTACCAGCTGTCATGTCATTCATAAGCCTTAAGCAGTTGAGGCCAACAATCTGTGCAGCATCTAATACAGACCGCCTCTCAGCATCGGTGAAGAAAGAGGGGACCTACGAACAAGAAAGATTTTTAACTTGTCTGGAACACAAAAATATTTAACAAATTCTCACAACCACTTATAATAAATTCAAAACAGTCCAGCCAAGTCATAAAACAACTAGAACTTTAGACTTAGTTCCTTAACTTTCAGAAGAGTTAACCACTTTTCAAGACGTCCCTAAATTATATTATCAAAGTAATCTTTATTATAACCAAGCTATAACCCAAAAAATTGACAGTACTCGTAACAGTTATGAGAGAGTACTCACTGACAGTTATTTAAATCTAATAGAAAGTTTTAAATATAAGTGGATAAAATACCATTTCCAAACTAGTCTTAAATTTCTACTGACATTTGGAAATTATAATACTAAGTCAACATTTAACGTTAAATGCAATTAAGCTGTAGGTAAATACTATAGAACAAGATAACACAGAGCTAATTCTAGCATATGCTACTGCCATTTAGTTTTTACTGGCTGAATTTAAGCATTAATAGAGGATAGGGTACCTTCTAATTCAGTAGACCTGTTAAGACCACAAAAACCGTTTTTGAAAAAGCTTGTTGATTTTCCTAAAAGGAAGAGCAAAAACAGCTCAACGGGTGAGGTTTCTTATGGTGTTGACTTGTGCTTCTGTATCTTCGCTTTCTAGGACGTGAGTTTAACAGGGACGCTCTCCAAGAAGAGATTCTAACGATCATTCATAGGCCCGCTTAACTGCAAAGTACCTAGCAGGAGACTTAGTACAGTGGCTTCCACATATTTTTCTAAGTATTTGTAGATGCTTTAGAAAGATAAAGCAAAGAGCAATGGTGGGTCTCTGCTCACCTTTCAAATCAGAGCACTGTGTTCAGCAGTTTTCTGTATTAGGTCATTTAAAAATAAAAACTAAGTTAAATTAAATTAAAAAAGAATGACTACTGACTTTTAACTCAATTCTTTAATTTTACCAGAGACTAATAATCTAATTTCTCCAAAGAACAGCCATATATTCGTTTAGTGGAACACCTTCTGTAGCGCAAGGGCAGTAAGGGAAACTTGGGTCTCTTTGCCTCTGGTCTTTCATGCACTGGGGTACACTGCCACAAGGGCTTCTGGATGGTCTGGGCAGGCCGCCCTGACTATGGTGCCATGCAAAGACCACGGTGTACGTAGGTCCATCACAGACCCTCCTGGTGCAGAGCATAACCACAGCAGATCAACAGGTGACCCTAGGTGTTTGGGAAAACAGGATTTACAAACCACCTTTCTTCAGGGTCCAAATAAAAGATGGCATTTGTCCATTTCAAATACTCCTTTATCTATCAATTGTCCACTGGAGGTAGTGGACTTAAAAGTGTTAAAGATCTAGGTTTTGTCACCACTGGTAGATTACATTTAAAAAACTTCTAATGCACTGGCTCTCAAATGAGGGTGAATTCTGAAAAAGCACTCATGTAAGTATGCAAGTTGTCTAATGGTGTATTAGCTAACCATACTGGAATATCGCCTAATTCAACCAGTCTTTATTTTCAAAAAGCCCCAGATTTTGATTTGCACCTCCAGTCAAGAACCTTTGCAACTTCTGGTCTAAAATACACTCCGAAAAATACACTCCCAACCTACTCCAAAATGCTCCTGAACACAATGCTAATACAGTCCAGTAGGATTCTGATCTCCAATAACAGAGCATCTGTCACACATTTGATACTTAAGAGTAACAGAGAAGGGAAAGTAAAACACAATGCCTTGCTGATGAATTCTGTACTTACTGAAATAACACAATCTGTCACTGGTTTCTTGAGGCTGTTTTCAGCAGTTTCCTTTAACTTAGTCAACAGCATGGCCGTTATCTGCTCCACACTAAATAGATGGTCTTCATCCATGTACATTACCTATATTGAGGACACCATGTTTTCAGCACTATCACACTTAAAGCTACATGCTAACACTAATTTCCAAATACATTACATATTCTCTTTCATAAAATCTTTGTTACAATTGTTTAAAAAAGAAAAGAAAAGAAAGGTAACAGGGGAAGGAAAGAAAACACAGGAAAAAAGAAAGGACATTTCCCCTAGAGATGAAGGGGAGGGAAAAAAAAAAAAGCTGGGGCTGATTTCTTTGCCTGTCCAAAGAACCAGTCAAAACATTATGGAAGGTAGTAAATTTCCACTCTAATTGAAGAGATGAATCACTGGGATAAATATTATTTTGTACAGATCATAAGACAGGAATGTCTCTGCTAGTTTAAAAAAAGATTTCTGATTGTATTACACTATTGCTCTCCAAACAACTGCAACTGAAATAGACTTTTGTTTGATATGACAACACAATTTAGGTTTTATAAACACCACTAAGTAAACCTAAATTTTAACAACTGCCAAGAAGTTACAAGAAACACAAATTACATGGGGGAAAAAAAAGGAATAAAAAGACTATCTTGTCCAATTAAAAAATCTGAGTTAAATATTTATTAAGAATAAAGTACTCTCCTCTATAGATGAGTTAGTTTCCTATTAAGGAGTCCAAGGTTGCTCCATTACCTTTATTCCAACGCCACCATTTTTCATTGGAACTAAATCGTAACTTAAGTTTTCCTTCTCCTTTTGAATGAAGGGGTCATTGAATGCTCGGCCATGAAACCTCTTGAAGTTAGACACAGTATTGTTTGCATGAGTGATTTGCTGCAAAAGAAATTAATTTAAAATTTTTCTATTTCAACACCTACCAGTACTTAATAGCAATTTTACAGAAAGTCACCTGTGCAACTCAAACCCTATGGATGTTAAGTAGCTTTCCCTGGAACCCTGAATTTCCCCATCAATGAATGGATTTTATTTTTCCTTTTCCCCTCAAAACGCCAGATGGTAGGCAGTGAGGGAAAACAAGATGCACTACTGTTACCACAAACTTTAAAATAATTGCAAAATCTGTATGATAAGTCAAAGATGGTCAAAGTATCACTAATAAAGCTCAGAACACACCAAGAGATGCCTCACTTTAACTTTTTTACTGAACTTAAGTTTTCTAACCCAATAAATGAACAAGTAAGGAGATCTAGAAGAATTACAGTCAAATTACATATTTTTAAAGAATTGTTATAGTAATTGCTAAGTGGTCAGGATAATACTTTTGTGCCACAAAACAGATCGCTATTTTTCCTACTAATAACATGCAAGGCTAATTATCTATACCAAAAAAACATGAGGCAAGGAGAATTCAAAAACTTTATAAATGACTTGATTAACTTTAAATTCATGCACATCACTTTCGATGATTAGACTCTGGATTAAAATGTCCCACTTTGTAGTATATTTCACTCAGAGATGTCAGCAGTGGGAAACACTTAAAATACAGAAATAATTAAAAGATTAAAAACTAAGACTGATAAAATTATAAGCTTGAAAATATAAAAACAATTTACTATTTATTTCCTCAGAAATAAATAGAAGAATACAGCTTGGCAGCACTAGTTTTCAGACAATATGGAATTTAAGAATACGTCTATACTAAATGTGATTCTAAAACTGAGATGAACTGCATCCAGGAATCTGTGAGCTAGATACAGGCCTCATCTAATGCTCTGCATTTAACCACGAAGTGCAACAACATCTTAGGCTTGGGATAGCAGTAATCTTTAGGAGATTATTACAATTCACTCAAGTGCCTCTCTTCCTTTTGAGCATGTCATTTTGTGAGTGAATAACTATCTTCTCCCCTGTTTTTTCCTTCTTTTGTCTGTACCTCTTCCAACTAGTCATAATACAGTATTTCAAGAATTAGGGTTTGGTTTCTTTTTTAGCAATAGTATTTTCTGTATTTAAAAGAATTTTTTCAAGTATTATTTTAAAGCCTCTCAAAAGGGACTTCATATTTCATATTTGACTTTATTTTTTCTCCCCAACTCCAAGGGCTGAACAGTTAAGTGAGCCCTAAATGGGGCAACATACATAAATGAGTCACATTCACATAAAGTAGTTTAACAAGTGAAATTTCAGTAATTTATTCAGTCTAATATATCTAAAATACTATGACTTCAACGTGCATTCACTATAAAATAGATTACTTTATTTCAATTTAAGTCTTCCAAATTTCATGTGTATTTTATACTTCACATTTCAATTCAGAGCAGGTACATACCAAGTACTCAATAGCCACATGTAGCCAATGGCTATCATGTTAAGACAACACAGATCTAGGCAAAAAATTCTCCCGGTCCTACCTTGATTAACCTCAAAATGCTTTTAAGCACAAAACTTCTAAAAGGAATCTTAAATGAGTATTGTAAAAAAGTCACACAAAAGCAACTGATTTATAGTTTTTTTTAATTAGATAAATTAGAAGGTAACAAAGTTACTAAAAATTAAGGTTGGCAGATTAGAAAGTTAAAGTAGATCTTATTCAATAAAACAAGAAGGGGGGAATGGAAAGAAAAAATAACCATCTAAGGGCTCATAAAGAACACTTGCATTACATTACTAAAACTCAAAAATAGATAGGCTTAGGCGTACTTGTGTGTGCCCTTGAGGTTTTGCTTTGCAAACAGCCCCTTTAAAACGTGACCAGAATTCTCTAACATACCTGATTTTTGGCTGCTACTCCAATTGTTCTGTTTTTTGATCCAAATGATATGACTGATCTAAAAGATACAAAAACCACATGTTCCAAAATATTAGAAAGCATAAATGTGGATATTTTTAACTGACAAGAGAAAAATTCTCATACAGATTTCCTACCCATGGTTTGGAGAGGAGAGGCCCAAGTACAGCGCAATTTTGGCGTCTACAGCTTTGGGCAGATACTCAAAGTGGGGTCCACTTAACTGCTACTCTGCAAATCCAATCTAGGTAGCAGTCCTACCCACCACCCTCCCAAAAGTCTGCTCATAACATCAGGGGACATTTTCCAGTACCTCAAGTACCATGGTAATTCAATTACCAGGAAATGGACATTAGCTCTGAAGAGTTTAAGGGTATGACTAATCTGGTCCTAGACATGTGTTAACAATACACTCGCTCTACTTCTCAGTCACAACTCTATACACATCTAAATTACAACTCTTTACAGAATCACTGTCATTACCTATTGCTGTCATCATATGACATCTGTCTCTTCAGGATAAAAAGTCGTTACATCAACTCCAACAAGTAGCATACAGATTGCTTCTGGAGTTTAACAGAACAGAAGTGAGCCCTACGGAAGACCCCACTTCAAGATGTGTAAAAATGATGCAGATCAAGTGTCCACAGCAGAACTGAGTATTTGTGGGAAAGGAATGAATTATCAGTTACCTTCTCACCTTAGAAGAAAAGTGACTTGTGAATGTGAGGCAGCCTTCTCAGCAACGGAAATGAAAGGGTAGCACAGAGCAGAGGAAAGCACAGGAAAAGTCTAGTCAGGAGGAGCTAAGTGATTTTTTAGGACTAGAGGGCAGGCAGGAGCAAAGGTAAACGAGGTGGACAAAATGGGACTATACGGAGGGCATTAAATACCAGACTGAGTCAAATTTAAGTTTTGCTATAATACAGACATCCTAGAGCTAGTTTAGATAAGCAGGTGCTAAAAGGCATCTTAAAAGCCAAGGGTAAGTAATAACGGTGAATGTAATAACCACATTGTTTTTCTTGTGAAACCTTCATAAGAGTGTATATCAATGATACCTTAATTAAAAAAAAAAGCCAGGGGAAGTGTTCAAGCAAGGCTAGACTTTAAAGATACACTTCAGAAACAAAGTATTAACTCACAACGCATTTCAGAAAGAGACTCTAAACTCACAATACAACTGCAGAACGAATTCACTCATTTTCCAACAGGAGAATCAATCCTATTTAGCAGAATTTAATAGCCAATGCAATTGAGTCAAACATTTAAAGAAAATAAAGTTTTACTGCCCTCAGTTTACATTTTTTCAGAGACATGTCTTTAATTTCGGAGTGGTCACTACAGCCACATACACATTTTTTCCTATTCTCTGTTGAACAGCTTTTCTTTCTCGAATTGGATCAAAAAGAACAAAGATGTAAACTGAAGCCAGGCATGGAAGTCTGATACAGTCTTCTTTACCATACTCCAATTACGGAGCCCTCTGCGCAACTCAAGTACTGACTGCAGGCTTGCAATAGGCAGAATCAGGGGTGTTCAGGGAATTCGTGTTCCCAATGCTACTCGCATTGTCAAATATTCACAGATTTTCTGATTTTTCATACACCTTCATAAATGTTCATCTCCATTCAAATAGTGATAACAAGCCCAGTCATTTTGCCTTTGGGCTCACTGTTTCATTCTACACTTTTTATCTTGAGTTTAGGGCATTTAAAAATAAATACCTACATTAATTTCCCTGAGAAACATGCATTTGTTTCTTCAGAAAATAAGTCACTCCAAAAAGTTGCTTTTAAAAATGTTACCCTTTGCCGACCCATGCTAATGCAGAACACAACATTTAATTCACAGACATCCATCCATCCTTTTCGGGTGTTCCGGCACAAAAACGATGCAATTTTTATTTTCTCTCTTTTACTTAAACGGTGCAAAATTAGGAAAAAGCTGGAGCACGATTGAGGATCCCTCTTGGAGAGGAATTCTCACAAAACGAAAAAGAAAAGGACTTTCACGTCTTTCACAAAAATGATCCCAGGCAATTAAGACAAACAAACCACCTTAGCAACCCACAGAATGGGTAAGAGGCACACTCATCAAAGGGGCGGCCCGGGTCGCTAACAACAGACTGCCTGCTCCCTGGACAAGCAGCAGCCAACAGGCTCTGGAAGGTTCCAGTTCATTTCGAGATTCACAATGCGGAAGAAAAAGGCTCAGCTGCCCCGGCTCTGCGGTGTGCAAAGACACGCTCGGAGGGAGGGGGACGAGCTGGGGGCGGCTCAGCCAGCTCAGAGAGGCCGAGTGGGCACACGGGGGCGGCGGCGTTAGAAGCTGGCTAAGGTGTGCCAAGAAAAAGGAGCCAAGTCGCGGGCTTGGCCGCAGCCCGGCCCCCTCCAGGAAGCCCGCCCAAAGTGACGACCCCAGGAGACTCCACTCGGACTTCTCTTGGCCCCGTGAATCGCCGAGACACCCCCTGTCCAATTCGTGGCGGCAAGCTCCCCACCCCAACTCCTGCACAAAATCCTGCCCCGCCGGGGCCCTGGTACCCAGGCCTCGGGGAGGAGCGGCCCGCTCCCCGCATCGCCCTCCGTCCGCGGCGGCGCCGCGCAGCCTGCCAGCCAGCCTGGCGTCCCCGAGACCCCCACCCCCGCCGGTTTCTCTCCTCGCCCCAGGACCTGCCACCAGCGCCCCCCGCAGACTCCCACTTACGGGGTGCACCGGTCGCTGAACTCGTTGGCGATGGTCTCGATGCCCCCGGCCCGGGCCACCGCGATGTAGCAGCTCTGCGAACCCACGTCCAGCCCCACCACCGACATGGCCGGCTCGCGGTCTGCCTCCGCCTCGGGTTGGGTGTGTGTCCTCCGGCCGCCGCTTCCTGCCCCTGTCGCACGCCGCTCCCGCGTGGCCCGACCGCTCCTCTGTCACTCGCGCAGACACACGGACAGTCGGCCCGTCTGGAAGCTCCGGCCTCCCGGGGCCGGTGGCTGCTCGCAAAGGAGTAACCACGGGTGACCACGGGTGAAGGTGGCGCTCCGGTATTCGCGGGTCGCTCCGCAGCTCCGCCGACTGCCTCGGACACCCGCGCGGCGCTCAGCTACCGACCCAAAAGGGGAGGTCCCAATTCCTCTGCCTTATGTATCTCACTGATGAGAACTTTCCAGAATCTGCGGCATTTACTCACCGGCGCCTCCACCGGCCCCTCCACGTGCCACTTCCGCTTCCTTATTCTCGAGCCTTCTCGAAAGATTCTACCCAATGGGTGGCTGCTCCCTCTGGGGGCGGCCACCGTTGCCACGGTGACAAGGAAGCCGCTCCGGCGATATTGGCTCAAGCAGCCTGGCTGACCCGCCTACGCCTCCGCCCTCCCCAGCCAGAGGCTCTTTGCTGTCCTAATAAAACGGGCAATGAAGAATGACTCGAAAAATCGGGATCTTCATAATTTATTAATGGGTGACGGTGTCCGACACTGAGACCCTAAAGAGAAGCTGAGCGAGCGGAAGCCGACTCCGCTTCGGCAGAGACCCTAGTCCCCTGGACCCTGAAGAGGCCGACGAGCTGGCCGGAGAGCACGTCGGGAATCGTAGTCTCCTTGAGCGACTGCCTTCCCCTTGCATGCTGGGATGTGCAGTCCCGGCCGCGGTGCGTGCTGGGACCCGGCTTTGTCCTGAGAGGCTCCCGAGAGGCCGCGTGTCTTGCAGCGCGTTCGCGAGCTTTCGCCGGCGGTGGCTTCCTTCCGCTTGCGTGCTTGTTTTGTATTCGCTTTTATTGTGGTCTGGATCACCGTACAACTGGTAAATTATGAATTAGAAGAAGGAATTTCTGTTTCAACCGCTAATAATAAGCACAAGGCTTGTGTTAAATATAATTCTTGAGCCCGCAGGATGTTCTTTTGTGGAATAAAACGTTAGGGGTTTATGCTCCTTTTTTTTTTTTTTTTTTTTTTTTTTATAAGGAAACATTTTTAGATGTGCATTAATTTGGAAGGCTCTCTGCGGTGTCACTTTGTTTATTTTTGATAGGCCTGGCTTGAACGGACCTGGTTCTACCCTACCTCTGCTAGCTGTAAAGTAAGCTTTGCTTCCTGGTTGGTCAGGAGCAGCGATGTCTCTATTAACTTATTTTTGGTAAAAAGACAAGACAAGCAAATAAAAAGAAAAGGTGGACCTCTGCTGCTATGATCAGGTGTTTTACACCTTCTACCTGTTTAAGTTTGGTAGTTCCTTGCTGCACTCAGGCAGGCACATAAAAATACAAGCACAGTTGAAACGTGTGTAACTGGGTAAATGAGTTGAGACCTAAAGTGAACAAAAATTTAACTTCTGAGCAGTATGACAATTTTTAGGAGGTTCAGTCAGAGACTAGGCTAGAAGGCCAGGCCTAGGTTACATACAAAATAAATTGTTTGTGCTTTTTTGATGGTTAGCCTGGCACTTAGACAAAATACTTAACCTTTAAACGCTTTAGTTAACTCGCCTTTAAAATGGGGGCAATAATAGCTATCTAAAGGTAAATTTGTAAATTTGAAACTATAGTTGGCTAAAATTATTTTTGTTTAGCCTTAGAAAAACTTGCCCTGGCCCCCACTTTTTTTGCATATCACAACTTTATATTAAACCCCCTGGAATCTTTGCATTTAAAAAAATAGAAATAGAACTTTGTTGGAGTTTTTTGTGCGTTAGTCCGCTTCCCACATTTCAGATAAGGAAACCACTGCAGAAAGGGGAAAGAACAGTCTTGGGTCTTGGGAGCCAGACATACGGACCAGGTTCAACTCCTGGGCAATACTGAGGTATCTTACAGTACAGCTTGTAAGAGCACCAGTCTTCCCGGAGTAAGAGTTCATGGGCTTTAATCCTGGCTACATAGACTAGTTACGAATTTGCCAGCTGTGAGACCTTGAGGTAATTACTAAGCCTTCCTGTGGTCCACCGCATAGGGCGTATGCAATGATTGGAAATGTACGGAAAGCACTAAGTGCCATTATGTGGTATCTGTAATATTCAAATTCTTTGGGCCTCAGTTTTCTCATCCGTAATAAAATGGAGATAATATCTATCTTGCTAGGAGTTTGGAAGGATCAGCTATAAATAAAACATTTAGTATGATAGTAGGCATTCAATACATGTAGTAATAGTAGTGATGTTATTCAAGAAAAGCCAGGAATAGAACTTCTATCTCAACTCATACTGCTGTGGACTCTGAGTTGAACATTTTTGTAGCCCCCTTAACTATTTAATTTTCGAAACAGGTGAGTGAGTAGGGATCCTATGAACTACTACAGTTACTATCTAGTTAGATAATACTACATTTATTAATTAGAAGCCTTGTATTTTTATTACTTTATTACTTTATTTTCATTTATTACACATTTAATATGCACATAATTTCTCACACTATGTCATAATGTCAGAAATGTTAGAGTGCAACTAAGACCAAAAAAAAAATAAGCCCAACACATAATTATTATCTAATTATGGATCCAAAGGTATACAGGGAATTAAGGCATCTTTCTCCTAAGTCAGCTAGCAGCCACCATTGCTACCAGGTTTCTTTTCCCACGTATATCTTAGAGAATAAGAGAGTTCTCAAAACTGGAAGCAGAGACAGCTCCCAAACAACATCAAAATGCAAAAATAAAAGAAGAAAACTGTGGATAAAGTGAAGGTTCCTATGGCCAGGATTCGCACCAGGCCCTGGTTGGCTTGCTCACTACACACATGTGGGTAATACATTGTTATTGACTATAAAGAGCTCTGCCCAGTGCTCTGGGCGACAAGGTCGCAGGGCAGCAGGAGAGCAGAGACTGGAGTGGTGGCACTGCTGAGGGCAGAGGCTTTTGGGGGTCAGAGAGGCTCGGAGGCAGAGACTGGCTTGCTGCATGCACACTCCCTCTGAGTGGACAGAATTCCAGTGATTGACCTGCCACCGTGGGAATAGACTTGGGTATAACCCTTTCACCCCAAAAACCCTCCATTGTCATTTTTTGGTCTCATTGAATCCGTAGTGAACTTGCCCAGGGCTGAAACCCATGAGCAAGACAAAAAAACAAACAAAAATGTGATTTGTTCAAAAAGATAAGGTGAAGTATATATATAAAAAGCTGTGATAGGCCTCCTTGAAAGGAGGGAAGAGTTGGGTAAAAGAGTAGAAAAGTAGATAAACATGAAAATGCTCATGACCTTCAACTTCTGGTGTGAACCAGTATTTTTGTAGCTACACACGGTGCCAGGTGCAGGAGATCACAGAAGCAGTGTACAACTTGGTCCAAATCAAGATGCATTTCATATAGCTTCTCTATGAGGCCAGCACATCCGAATGCTCAAATATCCAAAATCTTATCCATTTGAGCATCTCCCAGTATTTGCTTTTTAAAAGATGTTTTCTTCTCATATATTAACTTGAAATTTATTCTTTAAAAGTTAAATGGTTCCAGTAAAACCTATTTTGTCCTGATTTCAAGTTACATTAGAAAGAATGATCACCTTAAAATAGGAATGCATGGAAAATTCCAGAAGGAAAGAGTATATGCTGCTTCTTTTATTTAATTTTTTTTATCATTAATATAAAATCACATGGGCAACATTGTGGTTACTAGATTCCCCCCATTATCAAGTGCCCACCACATACTCCATTAGTCACTGTCCATCCCCATGCCCACCCCCTTCGTTATGTGTGCTAATAGTAAGGCCCCTTAATCCCCTTCTCCCTCCCTTCCCACTCACCCCCTTACCCCCAGTCCCTTTCCCTTTGATAATTATTAGTCCATTTTTGGGTTCTGTGAGTCTGCTGCTGTTTGTTCCTTCAGTTTTTCACATATGAGTGAAATCATTTGATACGTGTCTTTCTCCGCCTGGCTTATTTCACTGAGCATAATACCCTCTAGCTCCATCCATGTTGTTGCAAATGGTAGAACTGTTTTCTTCTTATGGCTGAATAATATTCCATTGTGTATATGTACCACATCTTCTTTATCCATTCATCTACTGATGGACACTTAGGTTGCTTCCATTTCTTGGCTATTGTATATATGCTGCTCCTTATAAACTAAAAATGGACTGTATTTTATAATAATGTAGTTAGCAAAATCTCAAATTAATAGGATGATGTTCATATCTGCCCCTCTAAGCTCACCGTGAGCCACTTTCCCCCTGGTGCACCATGGCCTCTTCTCCCACCTCGGGGCTTCAGTGCTTGTTCTAGCCAATCTAGAAAGCTCTTCATAGGGCTCTTGACTAGACCAGCTCCCTCTCATCCTTCAAGGTTCAGTTTATATCTCATCCCCCACTGAGGAAGTTTCTTAAACCCGCTAAGCACATCACCATTCCCCAAGGAATACCCAGTATTTGTTGAGTTACTAAAGAGAAGTTGGTGCCAGGCCTGGTGCCAAGGGTGGTCACTGTTTGACTTAAGCCAATCAGCACATTCCACCCCCTTGCTCGTAGTCATTGGGTCAGGAGTGAACACGTGACCTATGCTACCCAATCAGATGACTCATATTGGGATGTGCGCTTACCTCTCTGCCCGACTCCATCTCCCCTGCCCACCCCCAGGCACTGCCATGTGCGGTCATGAGACCAAGATGATCACAGCAACCTCTCCACCATTCTGGGAAGGAAGCTGGCATAAAGAGTTGGAAAGCAGTTGGAGCCCAGGCGTTAAGCCAATCCTCAGACCCGCCCTGCCTCTGGATTTAAGTTATGTGAACCATTTCCTTACTCTTTAAGCCAGTTTGAATTGGAAGTCTCTTAATTTGCTGCTAAAAACATCTTAATTTCCTTAGTAAGGTAGATGTTCCCACATTATCTAAAGCATCTCCCGGTTACTCTATTACTAGGCTCCATTTACTTCCTTTATAGTATATAGCACAGTCTGCAATTATCTTGTTTATTTGTTGATTTGTTCATTTATTTATTTACTTATTTCCTTTTTTTGAATTGGATGACTCAGGAAACCAGTGACCTTGTTTTTTCCTCTTCACACTGCCGTATAGGTGCTCAGTAAAAATGTGGTGAATGATTGAAAGATAAAAGTATATCATAAATTTATCAGGGAATAGGGACATTTACTGCTTTCCTCTAACACAGGGTTTCTCAACTTTGGCACTGTTGGCATCTTAGGCCGGATGACTCTTTGTTGGGGTGGGGAGCTGGGTGTAGGATGTCTAGCAGCACCCCAGCACCCACCTGATGCCAATAGCAGAAAAGAAAAAAATTGCCCTTATTGAGAACCACTACTGTAACATCTATAAGACTTTCCTTAAGCTTAACTGACACAAAAGGATCTTAGTAGTTGTTTTGGAGAGAAAATAGAGTAATTCGTTTG